GCAGGAGTGAGCAGATGTTTGGATGCTGGAGTGAGCAGATGTTTGGATGCTGGAGTGAGCAGATGTTTGGATGCAGGAGTGAGCAGATGTTTGGATGCTGGAGTGAGCAGATGTTTGGATGCTGGAGTGTGCAGATGTTTGGATGCAGGAGTGAGCAGATGGATGCTGGAGTGTGCAGATGTTTGGATGCTGGAGTGAGCAGATGTTTGGATGCTGGAGTGAGCAGATGTTTGGATGCAGGAGTGTGCAGATGTTTGGATGCAGGAGTGAGCAGATGTTTGGATGCTGGAGTGAGCAGATGTTTGGATGCAGGAGTGAGCAGATGTTTGGATGCAGGAGTGAGCAGATGTTTGGATGCAGGAGTGAGCAGATGTTTGGATGCTGGAGTGAGCAGATGTTTGGATGCTGGAGTGAGCAGATGTTTGGATGCAGGAGTGAGCAGATGTTTGGATGCAGGAGTGAGCAGATGTTTGGATGCAGGAGTGAGCAGATGTTTGGATGCTGGAGTGTGCAGATGTTTGGATGCAGGAGTGAGCAGATGTTTGGATGCTGGAGTGTGCAGATGTTTGGATGCAGGAGTGAGCAGATGTTTGGATGCAGGAGTGAGCAGATGTTTGGATGCTGGAGTGAGCAGATGTTTGGATGCTGGAGTGTGCAGATGTTTGGATGCAGGAGTGAGCAGATGTTTGGATGCTGGAGTGTGCAGATGTTTGGATGCTGGAGTGTGCAGATGTTTGGATGCAGGAGTGAGCAGATGTTTGGATGCAGGAGTGAGCAGATGTTTGGATGCAGGAGTGTGCAGATGTTTGGATGCAGGAGTGAGCAGATGTTTGGATGCAGGAGTGAGCAGATGTTTGGATGCTGGAGTGAGCAGATGTTTGGATGCAGGAGTGTGCAGATGTTTGGATGCAGGAGTGAGCAGATGTTTGGATGCTGGAGTGAGCAGATGTTTGGATGCTGGAGTGAGCAGATGTTTGGATGCAGGAGTGAGCAGATGTTTGGATGCAGGAGTGAGCAGATGTTTGGATGCAGGAGTGAGCAGATGTTTGGATGCTGGAGTGAGCAGATGTTTGGATGCAGGAGTGTGCAGATGTTTGGATGCAGGAGTGTGCAGATGTTTGGATGCTGGAGTGAGCAGATGTTTGGATGCAGGAGTGAGCAGATGTTTGGATGCAGGAGTGAGCAGATGTTTGGATGCAGGAGTGAGCAGATGTTTGGATGCTGGAGTGAGCAGATGTTTGGATGCAGGAGTGAGCAGATGTTTGGATGCTGGAGTGAGCAGATGTTTGGATGCAGGAGTGAGCAGATGTTTGGATGCAGGAGTGTGCAGATGTTTGGATGCAGGAGTGTGCAGATGTTTGGATGCAGGAGTGAGCAGATGTTTGGATGCAGGAGTGAGCAGATGTTTGGATGCAGGAGTGTGCAGATGTTTGGATGCAGGAGTGTGCAGATGTTTGGATGCAGGAGTGAGCAGATGCAGGAGTGAGCAGATGTTTGGATGCAGGAGTGAGCAGATGTTTGGATGCAGGAGTGAGCAGATGTTTGGATGCTGGAGTGAGCAGATGTTTGGATGCAGGAGTGTGCAGATGTTTGGATGCTGGAGTGAGCAGATGAGCAGATGTTTGGATGCTGGAGTGAGCAGATGTTTGGATGCAGGGTGAGCAGATGTTTGGATGCAGGAGTGAGCAGATGTTTGGATGCAGGAGTGAGCAGATGTTTGGATGCAGGAGTGAGCAGATGTTTGGATGCAGGAGTGAGCAGATGTTTGGATGCAGGAGTGTGCAGATGTTTGGATGCAGGAGTGAGCAGATGTTTGGATGCAGGAGTGAGCAGATGTTTGGATGCAGGAGTGAGCAGATGTTTGGATGCAGGAGTGAGCAGATGTTTGGATGCTGGAGTGTGCAGATGTTTGGATGCAGGAGTGAGCAGATGTTTGGATGCAGGAGTGAGCAGATGTTTGGATGCAGGAGTGAGCAGATGTTTGGATGCTGGAGTGAGCAGATGTTTGGATGCAGGAGTGAGCAGATGTTTGGATGCTGGAGTGAGCAGATGTTTGGATGCAGGAGTGAGCAGATGTTTGGATGCAGGAGTGTGCAGATGTTTGGATGCAGGAGTGTGCAGATGTTTGGATGCAGGAGTGAGCAGATGTTTGGATGCAGGAGTGAGCAGATGTTTGGATGCAGGAGTGTGCAGATGTTTGGATGCAGGAGTGTGCAGATGTTTGGATGCAGGAGTGAGCAGATGCAGGAGTGAGCAGATGTTTGGATGCAGGAGTGAGCAGATGTTTGGATGCAGGAGTGAGCAGATGCAGGAGTGAGCAGATGTTTGGATGCAGGAGTGAGCAGATGTTTGGATGCAGGAGTGAGCAGATGTTTGGATGCTGGAGTGAGCAGATGTTTGGATGCAGGAGTGAGCAGATGTTTGGATGCAGGAGTGAGCAGATGTTTGGATGCTGGAGTGAGCAGATGTTTGGATGCTGGAGTGTGCAGATGTTTGGATGCAGGAGTGAGCAGATGTTTGGATGCAGGAGTGTGCAGATGTTTGGATGCAGGAGTGTGCAGATGTTTGGATGCAGGAGTGAGCAGATGCAGGAGTGAGCAGATGTTTGGATGCAGGAGTGAGCAGATGTTTGGATGCAGGAGTGAGCAGATGTTTGGATGCTGGAGTGAGCAGATGTTTGGATGCAGGAGTGTGCAGATGTTTGGATGCTGGAGTGAGCAGATGAGCAGATGTTTGGATGCTGGAGTGAGCAGATGTTTGGATGCAGGAGTGAGCAGATGTTTGGATGCAGGAGTGAGCAGATGTTTGGATGCAGGAGTGAGCAGATGTTTGGATGCAGGAGTGAGCAGATGTTTGGATGCAGGAGTGAGCAGATGTTTGGATGCAGGAGTGAGCAGATGTTTGGATGCTGGAGTGTGCAGATGTTTGGATGCAGGAGTGAGCAGATGTTTGGATGCAGGAGTGAGCAGATGTTTGGATGCTGGAGTGTGCAGATGTTTGGATGCAGGAGTGAGCAGATGTTTGGATGCAGGAGTGAGCAGATGTTTGGATGCAGGAGTGTGCAGATGTTTGGATGCAGGAGTGAGCAGATGTTTGGATGCAGGAGTGAGCAGATGTTTGGATGCAGGAGTGTGCAGATGTTTGGATGCAGGAGTGAGCAGATGTTTGGATGCAGGAGTGAGCAGATGTTTGGATGCAGGAGTGAGCAGATGTTTGGATGCAGGAGTGAGCAGATGTTTGGATGCAGGAGTGTGCAGATGTTTGGATGCAGGTGTGAGCAGATGTTTGGATGCAGGAGTGAGCAGATGTTTGGATGCAGGAGTGAGCAGATGTTTGGATGCAGGAGTGAGCAGATGTTTGGATGCAGGTGTGAGCAGATGTTTGGATGCAGGAGTGAGCAGATGTTTGGATGCAGGAGTGAGCAGATGTTTGGATGCAGGAGTGAGCAGATGTTTGGATGCAGGTGTGAGCAGATGTTTGGATGCAGGAGTGAGCAGATGTTTGGATGCAGGAGTGAGCAGATGTTTGGATGCAGGAGTGTGCAGATGTTTGGATGCAGGTGTGAGCAGATGTTTGGATGCAGGAGTGAGCAGATGTTTGGATGCAGGAGTGTGCAGATGTTTGGATGCAGGTGTGAGCAGATGTTTGGATGCAGGAGTGAGCAGATGTTTGGATGCAGGAGTGAGCAGATGTTTGGATGCAGGAGTGAGCAGATGTTTGGATGCAGGTGTGAGCAGATGTTTGGATGCAGGAGTGTGCAGATGTTTGGATGCAGGAGTGAGCAGATGTTTGGATGCAGGAGTGAGCAGATGTTTGGATGCAGGAGTGAGCAGATGTTTGGATGCAGGAGTGAGCAGATGTTTGGATGCAGGAGTGTGCAGATGTTTGGATGCAGGTGTGAGCAGATGTTTGGATGCAGGAGTGAGCAGATGTTTGGATGCAGGAGTGAGCAGATGTTTGGATGCTGGAGTGAGCAGATGTTTGGATGCTGGAGTGAGCAGATGTTTGGATGCAGGAGTGTGCAGATGTTTGGATGCAGGAGTGAGCGGATGTTTGGATGCAGGAGTGTGCGGATGTTTGGATGCAGGAGTGAGCGGATGTTTGGATGCTGGAGTGAGCAGATGTTTGGATGCAGGAGTGAGCAGATGTTTGGATGCTGGAGTGTGCAGATGTTTGGATGCAGGAGTGAGCGGATGTTTGGATGCAGGAGTGAGCAGATGTTTGGATGCTGGAGTGAGCAGATGTTTGGATGCAGGAGTGAGCAGATGTTTGGATGCTGGAGTGTGCAGATGTTTGGATGCAGGAGTGAGCGGATGTTTGGATGCTGGAGTGTGCGGATGTTTGGATGCAGGAGTGAGCAGATGTTTGGATGCAGGAGTGAGCAGATGTTTGGATGCTGGAGTGAGCAGATGTTTGGATGCAGGAGTGAGCAGATGTTTGGATGCAGGAGTGAGCAGATGTTTGGATGCAGGAGTGAGCAGATGTTTGGATGCAGGAGTGTGCAGATGTTTGGATGCAGGAGTGTGCAGATGTTTGGATGCAGGAGTGAGCAGATGTTTGGATGCAGGAGTGAGCAGATGTTTGGATGCAGGAGTGAGCAGATGTTTGGATGCTGGAGTGAGCAGATGTTTGGATGCAGGAGTGAGCAGATGTTTGGATGCTGGAGTGAGCAGATGTTTGGATGCAGGAGTGAGCAGATGTTTGGATGCAGGAGTGTGCAGATGTTTGGATGCAGGAGTGAGCAGATGTTTGGATGCAGGAGTGAGCAGATGTTTGGATGCTGGAGTGTGCAGATGTTTGGATGCAGGAGTGTGCAGATGTTTGGATGCAGGAGTGAGCAGATGTTTGGATGCAGGAGTGAGCAGATGTTTGGATGCAGGAGTGAGCAGATGTTTGGATGCAGGAGTGTGCAGATGTTTGGATGCAGGAGTGTGCAGATGTTTGGAGCGCGTGATGTCTGCCACGCTTGCCTCTTGGTTCACCTGTGGTTTCTCTCGCAGTGAGGAGGACCGTAAGCCGCTCAGAGTTAGCCGGACGCCCTCCAGCGGGACGGTCCCGCGTGACGGCAGCGAGGACAGTTTAGTGGAGTACGCCGACTCCGGGGACACGCAGTTCAACGAGGACGGCTCCTTCATCGGCCAGTACAGCGGCAGGTCGGGGCCCCCGTCTCCGGTCATCAACTCGCTGGTGTAGGACTGACCCCAGACCAGCTGGCGGTCCACATAAACACACACTCACTCTGCAACACACTACTGGACAGCTCAAAATAAAGGGGAAGTTTTCTGACCCCGTTAGCAGATCTTGGTTTGTTATGTGCAAACGTGCTGAAATACTATTTAAGCTTCTTCTTCTGAGACTAAATTTAAACTGTAAACAGACGATCAAACCGCGAAAAATCCCATAGACTTACACTGAGGGGCTCAAAACTTTTACACAATAACTCTAACAGCTTCATCCACCGAGTATCTATCACTAGCAAAGCCTGGTAACTAGCTTAAAACATGCTAGCATGCTAAATCATGTTAGCAACACATTAATCATGTTAACAAGCATGCTCATTCATAATAGCAATGTGCTAATTCATAATAGCAATGTGCTAATTCATGTTAGCCGCATGCTAAATCATGTTAAAAACATGTTAAAACATGTTAGTAACCTGTTAAATCATGCTCGCAATGTGTTAATTTACGTTAGCAATGTGTCAAAATATGTTAGCAAACATGCTAAATCATGATAGCATTGTGCTAATTAATGCTAGCAACATGCTAAATCATGCTAACAATGTGCTAATTTACGTTAGCAATGTGGTAATTTACGTTTGCAATGTGTCAAAACATGTTAGCAACATACTCATTCATGCTAGCAATGTAATAAAACATTATAGCAAAATGTAAAATATCGTTCAACACATGCTAAGACATGCTAACAACATGATAGAACATGCTAAGAAGCTTTTAAATCCTTCAGAATTTCAGACAAGGCTTTGTCAAGCTAACATAAAACTTTGTCCCGAAGACTTTTACTTTATAGTTTTAAGCACAAACTCTCTTCATTTTGATGATTTTTCAGGAAGCAAGTCTTAATATCTTCAGTCATTGTTCTTCTCCAGTAAATGTATCTTAATTTAAGAATGTTTAGATATTTGTGCTGGAAAACGAGACAGAAACACTGAGGACGATCTTTGCACAGAATACTGTACAGTTTAATCAATGATGGACATGTAAAGTCTGTCAGAATTCATAACATTTTTCCCCAAGATTGAGTGAAACGCTGAGTAACCCTCACGGATGAGGTCATGTGACGCTGCAGTGTTGTGAACACAGCCGATATTCTGATATTACACTAGAGTGACACTGCTCCGCATCATCACGTCACATGACCCGCACCCTGACCTGCATGTGAACCTGTGCAGTTCCCATAGCAACCCAGTGAGGATGAGGATGATGATGCTTCATCTACCTGAATGCATTCACACGCCACATATGAGTTCATGTGCTAATCAGAGCTCTTTAATATTAACATGTGCGACTACAATTCATCTCTATAGGGTGAAATTCACAACAGAATTTCTGGCTTATATTTCATCCCACAATCAAAAGAAAAAAAATTAATTATATTTTAGATAAAGAAAATAAAGCCTTTTTTTTCTTTGCATTGCATGCAAGGTTATTTTATGACGATTAAATAGCCAAATTCTCATTCGTAGAATTAGAAGAGATTTCATCCTCATTACTGCGATGGACAAAATATACTTCATTTTCTTGATGCATAAAATATTCTTTAAAATATCTGATTTTTTTTTTTTTTCATGTAATTCACCCTATTTCTATTTTGCCTTGATCAGTTTTTGTAGGTCAGCTCATCGAAATGAACTGTGTGTATGAAAGATGTTTTTATGCTTTTTTCATAACTTGCATCAAGTTTGAATTTGAAATGTTAAATGTTGTTTTGTAAAGATATTTTGTTACTGTAAATATAGCGAGAGTTTGTTTGGCTTGAGGACTGAAGTGTGTGTGTGTGTGTGTGTGTGTGTGTGTGTGTGTGTGTGTGTGTGTGTGTGTGTGTGTGTGTGTGTGTGTGTGTGTGCGCACGTGTGTGTGTGTGGGGGGGGGGGGGGTGTGGGTGTGTGTGTGTGGGTGCGTGCGTGTGAGTGAGTGAGTGAGTGAGTGAGATTGTGTGTGTGTGTGTGTGTGTGAGCGCGTGTGTGTGTGCGCGTGTGTGTGTGTGTGTGTGTGTGTGTGAGTGAGTGAGTGAGATTGTGGGTGTGTGTGTGTGTCTGCTGTGGTTTAGTTTCTTCAGTGTTTTATTCAGTATTTATCTCATGTTTTATAATGTACCGCAGCTCTTGGTTTGTAAAGGGATTTTGTACTATAATGATTAATCTCAGAACTGTCAGAGATTTACTAACCACACGTCTCATGATATTTCAGCCTCTATAAGTATAATATGCAGAATAATATGGAATGAATAAATGTATTGCATTATACATCTCTTCTGTTTGAGTCATTTCTTGTTTCTTACACTATCTGTGTGTGTGTGTGTGTGTGTGTGTGTGTGTGTGTGTGTGTGTGTGTGTGTGTGTGTGTGTGTGTGTGTGTGTGTGTGTGTGTGTGTGTGTGTGTGTGCATGCGTACCACAAGGCTCAGTACTAGGACCGCTGATGTTCACTCTGTACATGCTACACACACACACACACACACACACACACTGTGCATGCTACTCAGCTCTATATTTCTTCACGGCGCGATGAAACCCAATGCCAAATGCAGAGCAGTTAATGTGTCATCAAGGCTAGATTACTGTAATGCTCTACTGGGTGGTTGCCCTGCACGCTTAATAAACAAACTCCAGCTGGTCCAAAACGCAGCCGCTCGAGTTCTTACCAGAACCAGGAAGTATGACCATATTAGCCCGGTTCTGTCAACACTGCACACTGCAAAAAATATTTTCTAACCAGAACAAATATCTGCCAATGGAGTCAAAATCATCTTCTTCCCTTTGAATTATTATTTTTCTGACCCCATTGGCAGATATTTGTTCTTGTTTTAAGCATAAACTCACTTCATTTTAATACCGGAAGCAAGTCTTAAAGGTATAGCGGAGGATCTTTCCGAATTTTAGAGACCCGCCCTCTCCAATTTTAAAAAAATGCACATGCGCAACACTTGCATGACTTGTGCCAGGGCTAGCATCGCTAATCATAGCTTACATTAACTTTTACTAGCAGTGATTTTAAATGGATTTCTCCAAATAGCATGACAAACTTTACCTGTCTAGTTGAATCTTCGCGACTGCGGCATCAGTGGGAAGCCCAACCGGTGCTTTTAGCGCACGCCAGCGTGTGAAATATTCACCCAAAATCACTCTGGTCTTGTTTCTATATTCTGCGGCCTTTCTCTTCTTATCATACACTTCGTATACATTTTTTCTCTTTCGACCCTCAGCCATTTTCAAAGGAATGGCTGAAACCGTAACTCATCACACATAATACACCTGAAAGTGCGCATGCGCAGAAAGCGAAAACTAGGGACGAGCACGTACGACGGCCTTACGTAAACATATCACCAGAATGATTGACACTTAGGTGGACCAATAGTATAGGCTACCCACCCGGAAAAAGAAAATCCTCCGCTATACCTTTAATATCTTCAGTCATTGTTCTTCTCCAGTAAATGTGTCTTGATATAAGAATGTTCAGATATTTGTGCTGGAAAACGAGACACAAACACTGAACAACATGATTTTTTGCAGTGAGATGCTCTGGGTTATTTTGAGATTTTGGGAGCAACAAAAGATTCTAGTGAATTCTGGATCTGAAGCAGAAAGATAGAAAATCACAAACAACAGTGAGTATCAGTGTGTAGAAGATCAGAGTGGTTATTTTAGTCATTGCCATTTCAGTGTTGGAAGAGAGAAAGAGAGCCATCTGTCGAACACTTGCTGTGTGTGTGTGTGTGTGTGTGTGTGTGTGTGTGTGTGTGTCAGTCACAGTGCTGGCACACTCTCTCTCTCTCTCTCTCTCTCTCTCACACACACACACACACACACACACATTTAGCCGTCTGTTATTCAAACACTAGCTACTTGATGCAGTTCTTGATCATTTTGTGACGGATTCTCAGTAACAGATGAAATTAAACTGAAGCAGCCGCAAACATCTCGACCAGCTCTAGATGTTATGAGGATGAGGAGGATGAGGATGAGGATGATGATGATCATCTGCTGTAATGACAAGGATTTGTTTTCAAAACTAGGAGTTCCAAAAGTATGATTACTAGAAATGGAACAGACATTTTCCATTACAATTTGAAAACGTCTGTTCCATTTCTAGTAATCATACTTTTAAAATGAGGTTTCTCAAATATCACAGTTTTCCAAGAATCCTGGTTCTTCAAAGACAAAAAAGCAGTTAATGAGATGGTAAATGTAACATTAGAAATATCTTGATTTTCAGTTATTTTAGCTTCTTTTAAAACTTGTTTGTCTTATTTTCTATTATTTTAAGAGGTTTGATCAGAATGAGTTCTAGCACTGGAGATGGTTGGGTAATCCTCAGTGTGTGCAGAAGTTCTCCTGGTTTTTGTCTCCATCTAGTGTCGGCTGAGAGATTCACAGAGAGCACTAACCCAACACCAGTTCATCTTCACAGGTTTGGGCCCACTTGATTTTCTCCTGATGAGATTTTGAAGCTGTTTTAATTAGAAACTCATTTTCACTTGTAATCAGAGTTTAGTCAGTCTGCTTCATTAAAGCCACAGTTACACTCTGTCATCATTTACTCTCCATCATGCCGTTCAAACCTCTATGACTTTCATTCTTCTTCTTCTTCTTCAGAATGCAAAAGGAGATATTTTGAGAAAATCAATGGGGTCCGATGTTGTTTGGTTCCCAACATTCTTCAAAATATCTTCCGAAGAATATCTTCAGCAAGTTGTCATGGAAAATCTTAGAATATCAAGTCATATCAAACCAAACCATATAAGAAGCGGAACGGAGACTGGTTAGCAAAAGCCGCTAACTCTTCCGATCACACTCCTCGCCATTGTCCAGTCCCTAGCAAACAAGACGGATGATCTTTCCAGTCGGATGGATACACAGAGGTACATCCAGGATTGTTCAGTTTTCTGGCTCGGACAGAGGACTCCCCATGAAGCCACGACACCGGCAGCTACACCGCTGACTGAAACAGTAATATCACAGTCATGTTCTG